CCTATCCTAAATGCTAAGTCTTCTATTTATGATAACTCAAAAATAACCGCTATCTAACGGTCTTCTTCTAAAAAAACGCCACGTCTTCAATGTGCATGCATTTCGCTGCCTAAGGCTCTCCATGTGTTTTGAAAAATAGATAAGGCCAAAAAACAGTTATCAGCTTTATTTTGAATTATACCCGTCGAGCGCTACTTCAGGTAAGCCTCATCGAACTCCAATCTAATCCAAAAATATTTCTAAGTCCTAAACCACAACTTCCTTGATGAAACGATCCTTCGTTGAAATGTTCTCATCAATGTTTTGTCGAAGTCAACATATTCTTCTTCAGAATATATCTTTGAATCTTATGACGTACTTCCAACATTAATGTGTGTCGAAATTCCAACCAACAAATTGCCCCCAAAAAATGTCATTTTCGATTATATGGAGAAAAAGACATTTTTGAAGCATTTCGACACTATGACATATTTACTGCTATGACGTCATGGTCCTCACGGTCACGCTGCTTTAGAAGTCTTATCAAGACGTGTAAAACCCAAAATTCAATCATCACACTCCTATTTCCTAGGAGGTAGTGCGCTATGCCAACTGCAATCATCTCATCAATCTATAATCGGTTAAAACGTGTCCCACGATTTTAACAATTGTTAGAGTGACTGAAATGAAACATTTCTCTTACACCATTATAAATACTTCATTTCACTTCTTTCTTTACTTTTTACTCTCCTAGACTCCTTTCTTCTTTCTAAAGCGTAAGAGCAAACCTTTCATCTCCTCTTAAGAAAACTTCAACGAAACTCATATTTCTTTCAACTTCATCATCAATGGCATCCAAGATCAAGAACCCTAAGGATTCCAAGAAACAACCAACTCTTCCTCCTGTTCACAAAATTCTAGGTCCTCAAGTTGTGGGAAATAAATAGTATATCCCAGAACCTCCTCTTGAAGAAGAAAAGAGGTGCATTTATCAATCTCGGGTACTCATTCATATTTCAATTTTTGGAAGAATACATGCTCTTGTTGTCCCTTTACCAAATCTTATCACTAATGCTGTAAAACTTATAGAATATTCAACCTATCATAAAACTAAACCCATTGCCAGTAGGAAAAGATCTAAAGATAGCATCAAAGTTGTGAATACTGAACCACGTAAGGTAGCTGATACTGAGCCTATAGAAAAACCTATTAACCTAGATTATATGAGCAATGCTCTTAGAGCATTTCACTCTTGTCCCTTATTAAAAGACCCTAAGATTTACTTGTCTTGGCTAGCAAAGATAGAGAAAAAGAAAACTAAATTTTGGAAAGATGTGAAAATTTTCAACATGATTTAACTGTCGAAATCTGGACTAGGTTACTGTCATACTATGATACTAACCTCATTGTACTTTTGGGATAGTACACACAACAATTTTCACTTCCCTTGTGGAATGTTAACCCCAACGTTTTTCGACGTTGCTGCAATTACTGGTCTTCGACCAACTGGAGAATTCTTTGATCCAAACCAAATGACAGAAGACATTATTAACTTTAATGGCGATCGAGCCACTTTCATCCATTATATCTTTGACCATCATGAGAAAAACACTGAAGAAGTATCTGATGAGGAACATATTGCTTTCCTTGCTCTTTGGCTATCCCGTTGTGTTTCCTGCTCGAGGTATCCACAAGTTGCAAAAAAAATTCTGACAATGGCTAACCAACTGCATGTTAGACATAAACTCTGCCTTAGCCAAATGATTATAGGTTGCTTGTATGAATCTTGAGGGGAAGGCGTGGAACTCCTTAAAAAGATTCAACTTGGGTCAAACTTATTGCTAGCTGGCCCATTTTGGATACTTCAGTTATGGCTTAATGTCACCTTTGAACCTTCGTTGCCAACTCATAACATCATTAACGAAAAAACTAATGAGATCAAGAAAAAAGGTTCGAAGGGATACGCCTTGTCCTGTTAACTCCTAATGACAAATGCCTAAATCTTCAAAAGACTTTCACTAAGTATTTAATGATGTATGTCAAGCGTTACAATTTTACTCCTTCTATGGCTTCTTTATCCAAAAGGACTCATGGCCCAAAATGGTTTACCAGAAAATTTCCTCATTCTTCAAGGATCAAGAAGTAGATTCTTTGGCCATATGAGAGGCATTCTTAACACCAAAAAATGATTGCAACAAGACTTCAACCTTCCAAAAATCAAATAATCCTCCTCAGTTACCAATTAAATCTTATCTATTAGCAGTTTGGTCTTAACCAGATCTTGCCCAAGCCCTTTTTTCCAAAGAAAAGCTCAGTTATACTTTATAACATGTACTTTACTGAGGCTCATAGCAATGAAGAAATGTCTTAGTACATTGGCACCACTCAACTCACTCATATACCTTTCACACACTCATACTTATGTTCCTAAGAATATGATACTTGGTGGAAACAATACTACTCCACATAAATGTTGGACGTTAATGCTTTCAATCAACATTTAACATCTGCTTTTGCTCTTATATAGGACAGATCCAAGAAAGGTATTTCGACACATATCAAAGAAATCCAAAATTATCAAAAATACTTTGAAATTGCCTACAAACTCGATGACCTTAGTCAAACCTTCCGTGAAGCAGCTGTTACTTTGAGAAAGAAATTTATGAAGAAATTCCCTGATTTAAAACTACCTTCATACGTAAAACCCGAACACATGTATACATTGGCTTTTAATTCACATCCACCAAGATTCCCTCGACTGCCAACGACTGATTTCGGCGTGGCATTTAGCCCTCCGTTTCTCGACTGGTTCGTCTGTGTGGACTTCGTAAAAATCCTTCAAAAAGACTCTAAAAAACTGGAGAAACGAGTGGTTCCGACTAAGCACACTTTGGACAGTTTCAAAGGATATCTTCATATTGGCATAGAGGATGTTCAAGTACTCTTTCCCATATATAAAGGTGTGGAATAAGAGGAATTTTCAATTTAATTCATTTTTCTTCTAACAGCTTCTTGACATATTTTTCACTTGTGGCAATCGTTTTTATCTCTTCCTATTTTAGCTGTTGAAAGAAAACAACTAGCAAAAGGCCCAGCAAAGGAAACTGTCAGTTTGACAAAAAATGAAGGTCAAGAAGAAGAAAACATCAAACTAGCAACAAAGGTACACTTTGTGTTTTCCTTATTTCGCTTGATGTATTATCTTAATATACTAATGTTTTCGTTATTTTAAGGTAAATCGAAAACCTCCTCCGACTCCCAAGAAAATAAAGGCTAAAGAACCTCGGGTTCAAGTAGTTGAATCAGATGACGACCTTTTGCCAGACACTTCTAAAGTTGTTAAGAAAAAGAAGAAAGCGAATGTTTCTGATGCCATTTCCCAACCAAAAACCAATATCATCAAAATCAAACCCCATAAACCTATCACTCTAAAAGCGACTGACGTTAGTCCTAAACCTGCCCCCAAGAGTAATCTTGAACGTCTTGAAAGTGACAATTCTAGGCCTGATGCAGAAGGTCCTAAGGTAAAAGAATCTTATATTACTTTCTTTATCCAAAATTTATTTTCGACTAAAAATGATTCGACTTCTTTTGCAGGGTGGCGCAGATTGTGTCAAACAATCAAGCATCTAACAAACTATCTCTGGGAGCACCAGCACTTCTTCGCACCAACCCACATCCAACAAGGAATCGACCAAAGGATCTATTAATTGCTCATAGAAACTATGGTGTTCACAAAACATGAACATGTTTCTAGTTTTATTATTGTTTGACTAAAATTTTGCTTTTAAATAAAAACAATTTTGAACTAGATCTAGACCGATTTAAATCCATTTCACAAAATATGAACCTATTTTCTAAAATAAAGATTTGGTTCTAAACCATAACAAAAAATATGATTTTGTTTTTATGGTTCAGTTACCATGCACAACTCTGCATATATCTCAAACTATGACACTACATCATCTTATGATGCTTATGTGTACACCTTGAACACTTTAACTTTGAGGCTCACCATTGAACAAGTAACTTTGGGTGTAAACTATTTTAATTAAATGATTCATGATATATTTAAGTTGAATGCTTATTGGTATTACTAGTTGTTCTGGACTGGACTGCCACCTGCCCCACAACTGGGCAAGGCCCAATTCAGTCTAGCTTAAGGCTAGGCCCAATACGACCATAGGACACAATATAGCCGTTGGACACAATATAGCCGTTGGGTGGAAAACTTAAAAATACCCTCTCTCTTGAGAGGGTCAGGTATTATAATCATTCTTGCTCATACCTAAACACTCATACTTGATTTCTCTCTTTAGACCACACACTTACTTTGGAATTGGAGTACCTTGCAGGTACAACCCCCTTCTCTCCTACAACTGCTGTTGCTGCCCTACATTGAAGGCCAAAATATGATCACTCCAAATCACTAATATTCACAAATGTATTAGAGAACATGTTGTAATAATATATTTTTTTTATCACCTTCTGATTCTTAGGAGAAAAAAGTTTTAATAATTCATAATTTGATCTGAGAATTTAATTCTGACCAAATATTATTTTCACTTGACATCTTTAATATTTGCTTAAAATTCTTTTAACTTTTTCAACATTTATAAACACACAATTCTTTTAAATTCTATAAATTCTTATGATAATATTTTGAAATTTAAATTGCATATTTTAATAGTTTTTTAAAATTATTAAAATTTTGGATAGCATTTTAAAATTTACAATACTTTTTCATGAAAAAATTACCCACGTATTCATTAGTACAGTATAGTACTATTTTCTTTAAGTTAAAAAAAAACTTATTATAGTGAGATTCATTTAAATTTTAAGAACTTTAATAGCGCGTGTAGTGGGTTACACGTGGGGGATATTTTTTTGCAGAACCCTTCACTCTCAACTTCCAAAAATGAAAACTTGAACCCTAATCGTATCTCATGAAATCTCCTCCAATGAATCGTTCGATTCTCTAACCCTAGAAGATTCCATTTATTCACTAGTAATTTTTCGCCATGGCTTCAGCTGAAGATTCCGGAGCCTCGTCATCGTTAGAGGTCGCCGATTTGAGCGACTCCATAACCCGCCTGAAAATGAACCACTCTTCCGACGAACATGCCGATGATGCTCCTCCCTCGTCCAGTGACGGTAACAACAACGTCTCCGATGATGTCATCAATCAAGTTGACCAGTTCCTTCTTGATGCGGTTCAGAACCCCCGCGAACGCCTTTCCAGTGAGTTTTCTACATTTCATATTCACTGCAAGAAATTTTAAAGTTCTTGTAGAAGTTAGGTATATTTTGTAGAGTGCTATGTTTTACAATACTGATAGAGCTTTCTAATTTAATTTACAGTTTTGCGGATGGAGCAGGATGTTGTGAAGTTCATTCATGATCCTAATCAACATCAGCTTGAATTTCAGAAACTACCAACTTCCTATTTGCGGTTGGCTGCACATCGGGTGGCTCAGCATTACTCGTTGCAGTCAATGGTTTTAGTGGATGATAGTTTACCAGATGGTTCTGGGTCAATAATTATTGTCCACAAGACTTTTGCATATAAGCCTCCTCTTGTTCGTCTTGCAGACATTCCTGTAAAGTTACCATCAGAAGACAATACTCTCAAGAAGGTTGCTATTAAACAGAGACCACAGAAGCAGTCTCTAGTAAGTGATACAGATTCAAACTCAGTTAAGAATCGAAACTCTAAAAGTGTAGAAGAGAGAACAGAGGAGTATAGTAGGGCTCGGGCTAGGATCTTTAGTTCAAGTGATAATTGTAGTACTCTGGGTGGGAAGCCAGGCTGCGAGTCAGGGAAGCAGGATAACTCCTTACTTTGTTCCTTGGATTTTTCTAGGGTTGAAGATAAACCTTCTTCTGTGCCGGATGTCAGTTCCAGTAGGGTGTTGGTTGAGTCGTCCACAACTAACATCAGGGCTAGAAGTAGGGCAGAGAAGGAATCGGTTGGTAGGCCTATGCAGAGTAGTAGGGTGGCGATATATCGGGACCGTGAAATTGACCGCAAGGATCCTGATTACGACAGGAGCTATGAAAGGTATGCATGCCTGTTACCGTTTCGGTTAGCCTTGTAGTATGTTGAAGTTGTAGTTTTTTCCACCTTTCTCAAAATAAAGGATTTGAGCTGTCAGACATAAATTTAATAATGCCATTGTAGGAGTAGATGCCTGTTACCTGGTATCTACTAATCTACAATATTTGGGTATTTGGGATTAATTCATCTGTGTTAGGACTCACTACAAGTTAACGAGATTCAGCATTTTCACTTTCTTTACAAAAACATTATCAAATTCTAACATCACCAGTCATTACTTGTTCCAACACTTTAATGAGTTTCAACACAAATGACATGTATAAGAAATTACTGCCTGAAATGTCATGGTACCTAGTCTTATTTTGTGTTTGAAAATATGATGTGTTTTTCTTCTAGAAAAGGCTTGAAACATGTTGGTGTTACCATTCAGTCATGCTTAATCAATAGACTTGATTTTGGATTTCTCACTGTTGGTCACTATATCCTAGTTCCCAAGTTCTTTTTGAAGTGAATTTTGGCTTTTTATGTTGCATAATAGATGTTCAAGAATCTAAAGCTTTAGTTGTGTTAAGGGCATGTAAATTTGGTATGCTATTGGGTCTCTGTATCAGAATGAAATGCAATTTTATAATTTAATAACACTCTTGTGATTTATTTAGGCAATATTTATTGATATGTTAATGTTTCTATGTTCCCTCGACAATTGTGAGTAACAAATATAGATGAAGACACGCTTGGTGTATGGTTTATGGATTTATCTGATTTTTTTTTACTCGCATAACAGGTATGTGCACCGATTTGACCCTGGATTTGGGTTCAATGGAGGACCATACATCATGCAGCCGATGTATACAGCTGTATCAAATTACCGCACTGATTTATCACAGCTTGGATCCACTCATGAACTGCAGCTTTTTACTGAACAGCATCCACAACCTCCTTTCCAGCACATACCTGGGCCATGGGCTCCACCATTACCTGCTGGAATAGGATATGGATATCCAGAGGCCATGTTACCATTTAATCCTAGACAAGTTGGTACATGCTCTGCACCGGCTTTGTATTTGCATTCATCTCACTATTCTTGTCACTGTCATGGAGTGCCTTTTATTCCCCATGAACCTCTTCATCAACCATTTCCACAGGTATTACAGCATCTAAATGTCCAATTTAATGGTTAAATCATATATACTCTTATGTACTACTTCCATCCTCAAGTATAGGATCCTCTTGAGTTTTTTCTGTTCCTTTTTATAAGATACTCTTTGAATTTCCAACTACATTAATTATTTAATTTTATGTAACCCCTAATTATGTTCTATCTTTTTTTGCAATATGTAATGAACACTATGCAAGCATTAATTAATTGTCTCTTGGAAGGATAAGTCTGTAAAATAATATCAAATGTCAACAGATTTAATATCAACCAACTTTTTTAATTCTTGTGTTTTTCTCTAGGGGTCTTATATTTAGGGACAAAAGGTAATAATAATTTAACAAGGCAAGATGCTTAGCTTTCCATGTGAGCGAATTTTAAATAGCGCTTAAATTTTTAAACTACATACATGAACTGAATGAAAGCAACTCTAAAGTACTACTATAAAATTCAGTTATATAAACCTCCAGAGATCATAGCTTTGATCTCATATCATTTGATCCTTGTTGTGGAATAAAACTATTTTTACATATTTTCTTGAATTTGTATGTTAAAAACCTAATTGAGAAGTTGGTTTTAAATATGAAAAAAAAATAGAGTATAGATATTAAATTGCTGCACACAAATATGTGTACATGGGATTCACACAAAAGAGAGACAAGATAAACATAATATTTTTTGAGATCTATTATGATGCGTTTCCCTGGATTTGAATGTGGCTGTTCCGATTTTTTGATAGATGCAAACTCATCCTTGCTTAAACAATTTTTGAAATAGGCTTTGGTTGATACTATAATGCAAGTGTCTATTTTATTTTGAACATGCGGAAGAAGGCAGGTACTTAACCTTAGCAATTGGCACCTCATTTCATATTTCATTTTATTTTGAAAACTTAGTTTATTCTTAGTGATTCATGGGTGTATATAGTCTTGAAGATGTATTGTGCATTCCCTTTTTTTTTTTATCTGATTTGTAAGTTTACCAATTCTGATCTCTTTGATTATGCTCTCTAATGCCCATATGTTTCAAGAAAATGCTTGTTTGCTGTGTCTAGATGTGATATTATGCATGCATCTTTCCACAAAAATAGTTTGCGTTTTCCAACCGTGCAAACATAATTTTAAATCTTTTACTTTTTCTTTGTATCTAATTATTCTTTGTCGTTTTTTATACTCCAGTCTCATCAACCACCACCTGATGCAAATTTTGGACTGGCCTGGCCCTGGTAAAGGGCATGGGCCGTGCCTGCAACTGATCAGCCTGGGACACATGATGTAAGCTGATGGGCTGCTGCAGCTTAAAAAATTTCTGTTAGCTGATTTCAGTGCAGGCAGGCATATGGGCCTAGTTTGACTGGAATGGATTTGTATATTTCTGTAAGACCATCAGTGTTCCTTTCCACCATTCTTGGTCTTCAAGGATGCTTATTGCATCTTCCATGTCCCTTGCAGACATTTGTGATTTCAGTTAAGAGCTTCTAGAGCACACACAGCACACACATTGCTTCTGATGATTATGAGAAGTTACTTGAAGACTTATCCAGAGCTGAATAAGTTTGCTCTTAACTTGGATGAAGGTATGCTTTGCCTGACCTATTCCTATGGAATACAGTTCTTGTATCTTGTCTGAGCAATTATTTCCTACATATGTAAAAGTTCATAATTTTCATTTATTAAAATTGGATAAATGAATAATGTGAAATCAGTCTGTATTTTAATAAATACGAACATTCCATCATTGAAGTTCGTTTGTCTGGTAGTTTGGTCTTACACCTTGTTATGTGAATTATCTAATATTTATAAGATTTTTTAATTTTTTTTTTTTTACATTATTTACTTTTAGATTGGTAAATGTAAATGAAACTTTTGTTCAGGCTACCTTTTAAATAGTAAGTACAAAATGTTTCTTGTTTTTGGAACAGCTCCTTAAAGAGCTCAAGGAGTTACTCTTTAATAGAGCTTGGCAAGTCTGCATTCTAACTGCTGGAATTTTATTGCTAAGATTCAACTGGAATTTCTCAAGCTCTAGTCACGCGATGCTTTATACTATAGTCTGATGAGTTATGATAAACATGTATACCACACGACATATCTGTATATATCGACATGTATTAATCTTAGCAATTACTGTTTTTCTGCATGGATTTTCTTTCTATTTATCTAGTAGCTATTTGACTTAAACCATTTAGTGTCTTAAATTGCAAGAGACTTCAGTTGCCATGTTATTGTTCTTGTTTCACTTGCCACTTCTGCCAATCCTTGTCATTTGTTACTTGGACAGGTTGGATTTAGTAGTGTAACAGGTTGATTTGATTCAATTTTAGGAGTAAACCAATAAAAATGAAACATTTTGGTTTGAGCAATTATTTTACGAAGCCGGAATCAAACCAATCCGTTTTGATTTGGACCATATGGTAGGTCAGCTCTTCTTAAAAAAGCTACAATAATAACAACAAAAATCGATACCTGCATTGAGGAAAAATATGGTGTAGTAAAAGCGTGTTTACAGATGTTAGATATGGCAATGCAATACTAACATATTATAGAAGAGCAGCTGCAATTTGAGCTTAATAAACACTGCATGATTGCTTCCTATTCTAGTCACAAACGAGTTATCAAAATTGTAGAGATTTGGCAATAAAAGATCTTGAACAAGAGCAGGCACAATATGCTGTCCAAAGGAGCATTTGCTATCTTGATGAAGGGAGCGACAACTATAGACAACTGTGGGGGTAACAAACCGGAAGAAGGGGAGTGGCAAAGATAGACAACAGTACCGGAAAATATGTGTGAATTGCAAAGAATTTGCACCCAAACTCACTCTATATCACAAACAAACGGCTATTACATATGGTCCTCAAAATAAAACATTTGTAACAAATATCTTGAATCACATACTAAACCACATACGAAATAAAATCAATAGAAGGAAATTTACCACCACGGTCCAGCGAACAATAAATTCTATTTCACACGAACAAGCTAGATGGATTGAACCTTCGATCCTATACCACTTAAGATATTCTGGTTGTGTCATTTTGAAGCATTACTACAATTCAAAGCTATTGGTTGAACGGATTGGATATCTAGAATAAAAAAGAAATTGAATTTACAAGTAAGGGGGAATTTGATTAGGGTTTTTAGTTTAAGGGAAATGAAGTTTTTAATGTTCAAGATGATACAAAATTCCGTTTCGATCATCGCTAGTCAATTAAATGTTAAGTCATGCATAATGTTCATACTATTTGTAATTTTTGTCTTAGTTCTAATTTACTTAGAACTTTTTACCTTTGAGTCTAAGATCTTGATTCCTTCGAAACAAGAGAGTTATCTGTCATAGGTTCTGATTGGTTCAGAATCTTACCATTTTCAGCAGTAGACAACATTCAACCCCTTTTGAGCATTGCTTGAAGAACCTAAGACAAAAATACAATGACCTTCTCCTTGGATTATAAGGTTTTTGGTAATATCCAAGACCTTCTCCTTTGCTCTTACTTACTCCATAGATCATGGAAGCAAGTTTGGTTCTTTCAAATTCAAATACAATGAAATTTTGAAGAGCTAATTCATTTTTATTCAGAGGTTTTAAAGTCACCAGATTCTGATCATTCAGAATCTGAGTAACATTGCTTCTCCATATATGCTTTCAACATGATTAATTTATGATGAATTCTTCGCTTGTGATCCTAGCTTGTGATCATGCACATTTGGACATATGTTAGTATACCTTATTTATTCTCTAAATACTTTGTTACCATCAAAACCCAAGGGACATGAACAATCTTGTTCCAACAGGATGGAGAGGTAAAATAAATATGTATTTATTCTTTTAAACATATGTGTTATAAGATTTGAACTTTTTGACGATGATGTATTTTTTTTACTTAGAACATATGTTCAAATGTGTGAACTCTAAATTTATAGCATCGTAAGATATTAATATGTATCAACCATGGTAGGAAGATTGCAAAGTTGTCGTACCTTGACGAATCATGGTTTCAGGATGTCATGCAGCTCTCCGGGCTACAAGATTTATGCAGTATTGAGTTTAGTTTTATTAACCATTGTTTGTTGTCTGTTTTCATGAAGAGATGACACTCAAAGACGTCATCATTTCATCTTCTGATTGGTGTGATGTTCATCACATTTGATAACGTGTCATCCCTCCTACATCTTCCGATCACACGAAGATTATTAAACTACTCCATAATCACTAGGCCTAATAAATTGGACATGATGGTGTAATATTTGGAAGTTGACCCATGTGATGCCTAGCTAGAGATAGATGCCACCAAAGAATGTCATGTCAGATTTGGATTTCTGGAGAAGTTGTAATGATACCACCTGGATGCGGTAGTTGAGGGTGATGGTGATTATAAACAGGTTGAGTATCATAGAGTATGTGCATTGAGGTCATACCTCATGTATTTGGTTGACACATCCATATTTGTGGACAAAAGTGCATACTATGTTGATGTTGTCTATCTAAGATATTCCATTGACTTGGTAAGGATTCATGAGTAAAACAGAGAGACCTCTTGTTTGGTTTTCCTCTACTCTAAGTTAGGCGAAGCTTGTTTATGAAAGACTAGACATATGATAACAAGCAACACACTATTTACAATATTATATTTGCACCTTTACTATCACTAATATTTTATAAAACTTGTGTTACGCCGTTACTAATATTTCATGTGAACCACTTTCAAACATGGATCCTCCAACACTTTCCACGTCTCTCCTATTGGCCATATGTGAATTACTACAAGGTTTTGCCACGTGCTTTCTCCTTCATCATGTTCAGAGGAAATCAGGCGTTCGAGTCATTTCGAGTTTATCTTGATCGCATTGGGACAAATGATATAGCCTTCACACCATATAATGATGACCGTGAGACAACCCCTTTGTTGAGATAACATTCTACTCAAGATGACTTGGTTGTAAGTCATGACTGATGTGTCCACATCTACCTAAGCAAGTCATGTGCCAATTCATATATCGGCAGGATATTCCTAGAACCCCCATAGTTGATACTCCTTCCACAGTTCTTCGCTGAGAAGATAATGAGATATTTACGGAGTACTATGATCATCTGGTTTCAGAGGATGTATGTAGTGTGTCATCTCTTCAATCATGAAGTGATGCATACAATTATATCCAATTGTTTTTTAGAGTGTCACATTCTTACATGACACCAAATGCATAGGAAGATCCTTGTAGGCCAGCTCACGAGGATATATTGGCAGAGGAGCAGGCTAGGATGAACCATGACATTGACATGATATCGATTTGTCAAACGTATTGTGGTTATTAGGAGAGTGAGCATAGAGAAAAGGAGAGTTTAAGGAAGACACCCCTAGGATGGACATCGGACATGCCATGATAGCCGAGACTGGGGTACAGAAGGCAGAGGAAGAACCAAGGAGTCAAATATACTTACTAGTTGACTTTTTCTTTATATTTTGATAATTTTTATTATCATTTATATTTTGTGAACAATATATAATTTGCATTTTAATTAATATATGATATTTTGATTGAATTACATATGTATATGGTTTAATAGAATAATAATTACACATACTCTATAAATGCTTTAAAATATATGGTTTATTAAAATATGTCAAATTTATAACAAACAGGAAGGACACTTCCTATCATGAGAGTTTATCCACTGAGTTGTGAAATAAACATACTATCATGAGTTCAAATTGTGTCCAGAGGTTAGTATAGAACATAATCTACAAATTCACCTTTCCATCAATATGAAAATTGACCTCCATACTATTTTTTGACAAAATAAAACTGGGTAACTTAAAAAAGTATTTTGTGTGTATTAGAAGCATCTGAAAATTTAATTCCAAACTACGCCATGTGCACTTTCGAGTTTCATAAATGTGGCTTTTCACCACTAAAAGTGCGAAAAATACAACATAACCATTGATGAATCTTCGTGTAGCCAGAGTGTGGCTATAGCCACACCAGATTATATATATATATATATATATATATATATATATATATATATATATATATATATATATATATATATATATATATATATATATATATATATATATATATATATATATATATATATATATATATATATATATATATATATATATATATATATATATATATATATATATATATATATATATATATATATATATATATATATATATACACTTAACTTATTATGTTAATAATAAGAGAAAAAAAATATTAACAAGTCCAACTCACTTTTTTCTCTCACAATACTTCTTCTCACTTTTCTCTCAATATTTTCTTTTTCTCTTCCTCTTAAACCACATAATCTCTCATACTTATCTCTTCCTTTCATATTTATTAATCCAATAATCTATCATTTTTTCTTCAATTTTTATCAATTGACTTGAATGGATTTATTTATCTGTGATTAAAAATCAAAATAAAATGAGTATTTCAATTTATTCTTATTCTTTTCTCCTTTTTGAGTGAAATCTAAAACCCCAATTTATTAAAATTTTTTTTTTTTTTTTTTGTAATTTCTCATAAATTGTTTTCTTTATAACCAATTAATTTTACCGATTTCTTTATATTATTCTCTTGATAGGATGAATAAATTTTTGCATGTGCTTTCTAGAAACAAAGTTGTTTCTTTGACTAATCTAAAAGCATCGAAAACTCAACATTCAAATAAGAGTATTAAAGTTGTTTATTATGAATGTTTGAAAATTGTTTCATGAATTAGACCTCCAATTTCAAGCTATCATCTTGACATCCAAAATGAGGTAAGAAAAACCTATTTAAAACCAATGTATTAAGGTTGCGTTTGTTAATCGAACTAAGCAAATGAATTTCGAATATCATGTCAATATAAACACAACTATTATAGCTACTAAGTTTATTTGTGCAAAGTTAAAAGAACTTTAAGATATTTATGCAAAACTTGTGGAAACAAATAAGTGCAACATATTTCATATGATTTATAAGCTTCTAAAGTTAGCTTTAGTCTTACCGGTAACAACTGCGAGCGTGTAACATGTTTTTTAAACTGTGAAGTTTGTGAAGAGACCGTTATGTAACAAAATAAGCGATCAATGGTTAAATGATGACAAAAATACTGTTTAGGTCCTTTAAATTATTTTAAAATATTAAGTTAGTCCTTTAAATTTTTTTTTTTTGTAACATTGATAATTTATATTAAGTAACGTTTGCGTCGTTAATCTTTTTAAAAATTTCTATTACAATAAATTGCAAACTCATATATCATTTGAACTGTTTTTTCGTGTTAATCACGAATATGCAATCAAATTTATTAAACAAGTTACGATTCATAAGAATCAGGAAAAAAAGTGGATAAATACATAACGTAAAATCGTTTGATCCGACCAAAATACACAATCAACTGCAAATTTAATTACATATTCGTGATCAGCGCAAAAACACAAAAAATCAGTTCAAATGGTATATGAGACTGTAATTTATTATAACGGGAGATTTTTAAAAAGGTCAACAACACAAACGTTACTTAATATAAAAGACCAAATCGTTACAAAAAAAACATAAAAGATTAACTTGATATTTTAAAATAACTTAAATGATTAAAACAATATTTTTGCCTTAAATAATTGTCTTGTAACTTTTATAAAAATAGATGTTCTTGAAACAACTAACAATGATGTTATTTTAGCTTATTTTCAAAAAATGGATAGAAGACGGTTTTCATTGTAAATGTACTTCATTAAATAATATTATTTCTTATTTTCAATATAATTTAGTCTATACTTTATTTCATGTTTAGCTGCACCAATATATAATGTATGAATCCATTCCTGAGCGTAACCAAATAAAATCAAAATTCTAATTGTTATTGATGTATTAACAATATGTCTTCTGAGCAAATAACTCAGTCATATCTGTAAAACAAAACTCTTGCATAATCAAACTAAATGCTAGGCATGAAAGTTCATGTGCTAATCTAAACCAACTGCAAAACCAATGTCCAGTTCTGATTCCACTATCACCACTTCCTCATCAAACACAACTATGGTACCATACACATGTTCGGCAACACAGCTCAGTCATCCACAGTCAGCATCTTGTCTATGTTGGAAAAGTTTTGATAGAAAGCTTTGAAATGCTTGTAAGCAATGTCTATATCTTCCTTCCCACATATTTCTCTTATACTGCAAACCAAGTACAAGCAGACACAGACCACTCATATTATATATTCTCGGAATGAGTCAGGGATGAATTGGAACAATAAAGTAATATTTGCTTATTTTTCGGAATGATCTTTCTTCTAATTATTCATACAAGAATAATTTCAATAAGAGAGAGACAAAATTATCGGGAAAAACATCTATTATACTTAATACGCAGAGAAAAGGACACAGCCGAAACATAATTTTAAGAGGTAAAATCAAATCTATTATAAATAACAAATGTTGGAAATTGATTGTTTTTTCTTCACTCATTTCCCAGATACAATATAGGGTAAGTTGACTTTCATCTTCAGACATTTAGGCTCTGTTTGGCAAGCCCACGTTTTGAACTTATAGCTTATGGCATGTAGCTTATAAGCTTATATCTTTTTAAAAAGTTCGTTTGGTAAAATATTATTTTCTCACGAGCTTATAGCTTATTCCTACTGACTTATAGCCTTCTTTGATGAGATGATTCAAGTAGCTTATAGCTTATTTTTCTTTCTCCCAATTTTACCCATGTTATCTTAATTGAAAAAAATAAATATTAATTCAACATATCTTTTTCATGCCATTTTACATCTATAAATTAGTTCAACCGTTAATTTTACCAAACTACAAATTCAATTAGCTAGCTTATTCTCTATAAGCTATCAACTAATTTATAACCTATCAACTCATAGGCTATAAGCTAGCTTATCAGCTATCCTCTATATTTTCCAAACAAAGTTTTAATGTGTAAGAACCAACTGCTAGACATGGTTATAACTTATACCTTCTCAGTATCAAGGCTGGACATATGACAAGGTTTCACAAGAGGTTTTGATATGATATAAGCAACTATATTTTTTTTCCTAAAACAATTTGATACCTGTGCATTGAAAGTTGAGCAATTCCACAGTCAACAGTTCGGATGCCAACCCCAGAAGCGAGTATTGGACCTATGGTTGATCCGCATCCCATATCATTTCTAACGACGAATTCCTATAGTGTGAATACAAAATATAATCTTCAGAGGCGTCAATTAACTGATATAACAAGAATATATAACACTTTTACATTCTCTTTCATCTATTGCAAGAGATTATTTTGAAAAGCTACTCATAGTAACATAAAAAAAGAGTTGAAAATTTTTTGTCGAACATTCCATTTAAATAAATAATTTGCATTAAAGGAATAAGGTGTTTAAACAAAATGAAATGATAGAGAGCAGTTGCCTGAGTTGGAAGGTTATGGATTTTCCCAACTTCTTTGAAAAGAAAAGATGTGATTCCACTTGTAGCATAGCGCTGGTTTGCATTGTGCTTAATAACAAGTCCTTTCTGCAACTCTGGTCTGTGGTGTTCTTCATGCTTATCTGAAAAATTTGGATGAACTCCATGGGCCATATCTGCAGACACTGTTAGAAACAGAATCCAAAAGGTAATTTAGTGGTCCCTTTTAGAATATTATGCAAGACAATAAATTATGTACAACAAATTTACTAATGCTCATATGACAAAATTAAAAATCACTATTTTCCATATACTTAGTTATCCTAAATAGAAGTATTGAACTGTAATATATTTTTGACATCTAACTAATGACAAACTCTCCGTGTTGCCGGACAAAACCATCAACACGTTTTCATGAAATCCTTAAACAAATTCAGTATAAGCTCTCTTTCCATTTTTTAAATTAATATTTAAATTGGCATCCTAATAGAACTAGTAAACAGAAGAGAGTTTCAAAAACAAAATTAATAAATAAATATCAGGGTTATTTCCTTAATCACTTCCCTTAATAAAATATAAGTCTTGCAACAATTGGTCGCCGTGGCAGAAACTGAAACAGCTTATGGGACTTCTTTTAGCAATTTCAGCCATTATTTTAAACCCCGCATTCTCTCCTTTCTTACTTAATACATTAATTTTATAAACTCTACCCTTAATAATCTAAGCCTAGAGCCACTCTAATTAGCAATGCTAGTTACTAAGTTACAAACAGAAGATTGACAACTGAATTTGGCAATCAACCCATAATATTGGAAATACACTCATGGTGTCAACCCTTATGTTCATGCATTTGTCACATATTTGCAAGAGGAGGATATACCAAGAAATGATTGGCGAATAGTTCGCTCAAAAGAGCCTTCACCAACGTAGTTATTATTTGCCAAGCTTGCAACTATACGTCTCATGGCCTGAAACATGGTGGGTGCACCAGCTCCTTGAGCAGAATCTGAACCCACCTAAATAAAAGTAGTTAGATGTAGGATTGGGAAATCCACTGAAAAATATCATTACAATAGATGCAATATACCAACATGTGAGTAGGATATATCATAAACGAATTAATTTGATTTATTATGAGTGTAAGGAATCCCACAATACCAATGATTGATATGATGTTATTTCCATCAATTTGAAAGAATGTTTTATTGCAATGGTTTAATGTAGTATTTCTTGTACATTGTTAATGAATATAATAATAATAACAAGAAGATATTTATATAAAGCAACTATTGTGAGAACAACAATTGACAATATAGAGGATTTTCCGATAATTTTAAATGTGATCCGATTTCAACTTTGAGCTCATGTCTTTTGATCTTTAAAATAAAGTATAGAAATATGCTTTTTCTATTTTTTTTTTATTCTGTAACATAGTACATGAGTATTTATAGAATATAAATTACACTAAGAAATAGGGGTAATTATTCTCCCTATAAATGCTAATCCTAAATAAGGTAAGAATATAATAATACAATTAATTTCTATTTAATCACAATTTGAATCCAGCCATAATGAGCTGTATGACAGAATCTGTTTTGATTTTGTGCTAATATTCAACACTCCCCCTCAAGCTGGCATGAATATATCGTTCATAGCAAGCTTGCACACCATGTTATCAAACAGTCTCTTTGGAAGACTCTTTGTGAGAACATCTGCTACTTGACTTTTGGTAGGTATGTAGGACATACAAATCTCACCGCTGTCAATTTTTTCTTTGATGAAATGCTTGTCCACTTCAACATGCTTCGTCCTGTCATGTAGGACAGGATTATGGGCAATAGAAATAGCAGCCTTATTATCGCAGTAAACTTTAATTGGAGTTGGGTCAAAGAACTTCAATTCTTCCATGAACTTTTTGATCCATAATACTTCACAAAAACCATGGGCCACAGATCGGAATTCAGCTTCTGCACTGCTCCTGGCTACAACATTTTGTTTTTTGCTCCTCCATGTAACTAGATTTCCACCTACAAAAGTACAATATCCTGAGGTAGACCTTCTATCATTTATATTACCTGCCCAATCAGCATCTGTATAGGCTTCAACCTGTATATGTCCTCTATTTCTGAATATCAGCCCCTTTCCCGGAGTACCTTTCAAATATCTTAATATTCTGAAAATAGCTTCAAAGTGGGCTGCACCTGGTGCATGCATAAATTGGCTTATTACACTCACTGCAAAGGCTATATCTGGCCTTGCATGTGACAAATAAATTAGTCTTCCAGCCAATCGTTGATAACGTTCTTTATCTACTATTTCATCTTCAGCAACTGACTTTAGTTTCACATTGGGATCCATTGGTGTTTCTACTGCTTTAGACCCTGTCATCCCTGTTTCTGCAAGTAAATCGAGTATGTACTTGCGCTGGTTGAGAAAAATACCTTCTTTAGATCTTGCGAACTCCATCCCAAGAAAGTATTTTAACTTTCCAAGATCCTTGATATCGAACTCAGCCTCAAGTCTTCTCTTCAGATCACTAATCGCTTTGACGTCATCTCCTGTAATAATAATGTCATCAACATACACTATTAAGATAGCAATCTTACCTTCAGATGAGTGTTTAAAGAACATAGTGTGATCTGCTTGACTTTGGGTGAAACCGTGTCTCTTAACAACACTTCCAAATCTCTCAAACCAGGCCCTTGGCGATTGTTTCAATCCATATAGGGATTTTCTCAATCTGCATACTTTGTTTCTTCCAAGATTTTTTTCAAATCCAGGAGGTAAACTCATATATACTTCTTCATGTAATTCACCATTCAAGAAGGCATTTTTAACATCATATTGATATAGTGTCCAGTTGAAATTTACTGCAAGAGAAAGAAGAATTCTGATAGAATTGATCTTAGCAACTGGGGCAAAAGTCTCTTGGTAATCAATACCATGAGTTTGAGTAAATCCTTTTGCTACTAATCTCGCTTTGTATCTTTCCACACTTCCATCAGCCTTGCATTTCACTGTAAAGACCCACTTACACCCTACTGCCTTTTTATCTTGTGGTAGATCAGTGATACTCCAAGTGTTATTTTTGTTTAGAGCATCCATCTCTTCTTTCACTGCTAATTTCCAATTCGGATCACTTAATGCTTCCTGAATAGTTCTGGGCACAAACAAATTAGAAATCCTAGACACATATGCCTTATGGGTGTGTGATAGTTTGTCATATGACAAGTAATTAGACATAGGATGTTTAGTGCACATACGAGAACCTTTCCTCTCAGCAATTGGGACATCGAGGTCAGGAATATTTTTTCTCACAGAAATTGGAAGATTAATATCAGGAAAAGACAAATCAGATAAATCATTGGATGAGTAAGAGGGATTACCAGATGAAGAACTAGAAGACAGATTATCTGTAGGACCTTCACTTGGTAAATCAGATTGGATTTCTACTGGAGAGACAATAGGGTTTGCACCACCTTTGTGGAATTTTTTTCGAACATACACTTTAAGTTCAGGATTATCATCCTTAATCAGTGTTTCTCCCCCTGTTTCAGATTCTATTATCTTAGCATTTGGGTGATTTGTAGTCACAATATCATCTAGAGCAGGCAAAGTTTCCCAAAAATTATCTTCTTTATTATTACATTGACTCTCCCCCTGAAGAGAATTTTTAAAAAAAGGTTGATTTTCAACAAAGTGAACATCCATGCTTTCAAAAAATTTCTTTGTAACTGGGTTAAAACATTTGTATCCCTTTTTATTGGAAGCATAGCCAAGAAAAACACATTTTTCGGCTTTAGGATCCAACTTAGAACGAAAAACATTGGGGATGTAAACATAACAAAGACAACCAAAAATTTTAAGGGGAAGATCCGTAATAATACGAGATGTAGGAAAATTGTTTTGTAACACTTGTACAGGACTTTCTTATTGTAACACCCGAGATGGCATTCGATTGATGAGGTGACAAGCAGTTAATAAAGCATTTCCCCAAAGATACTTAGGTACATTCATAGAAAACATAATAGCTCTAGTGACTTCGAGGAGATGTCTATTTTTTCTTTCAGCAATACCATTTTGCTGCGGAGTATCGCGACAAGTGGATTGATGAATTATCCCCTTAGTTACAAGGAATGTACTTAAATATTTGTTGAAATATTCAGTGCCATTGTCAGACCTTAGAATGCCAATCTTAGTTTGAAATTGATTGTTAATCATGTTAAAAAAATCTTGAAATCTTTGTTCAACTTCTGATTTTTTCTCCATGAGATAAACCCAACACAGCCGTGTATGATCATCAATAAATGTTACAAAACCATTTTTTTCCAGACATAGTTTTAATTTTTGAAGGACCCAAACATTCCTCACCCGAACCTAAATTAGTCCGAACGTACCATGAAAACCACCCTGTTCAGATCACAACAATTCGGCTGAACGGTGCTAATTATCTTCGATGGTCGCAATCCGTTCGTATGTATCTCAGGGGGAGAGGAAAGATTGGGTACATTACTGGCGACAAAAAACAACCAGACAAGGCAGGTGCAGATTATGATACATGGGATGCTGAAAACTCCATGGTCATGACATGGTTAGTCAACTCCATGGATGAAGAGATAGGTGCAAATTATCTCTGTTATGATACTGCAAAAGAACTTTGGGAAGGTGTCTCCCAAATGTACTCTGATTTGGAAAATCAATCCCAAATCTACGAATTAACTCTCAAATTGGGAGAAATTCGGCAAGGTGAAGATTCAGTCACCAAATACTTCAATTGTCTCAAACGTATTTGGCAAGATTTGGACCTTTTCAATGAGTATGAGTGGAAATCACCTGCCGATAGCAAACATTACAAGAAGATGGTGGATGTTAGTCTCTGATACCATATAGAAATATGCTTTTTCTATTTTTTTTTTATTCTGTAACATAGTACATGAGTATTTATAGAATATAAATTACACTAAGAAATAGGGGTAATTATTCTCCCTATAAATGCTAATCCTAAATAAGGTAAGAATATAATAATACAATTAATTTCTATTTAATCACAATTTGAATCCAGCCATAATGAGCTGTATGACAGAATCTGTTTTGATTTTGTGCTAATATTCAACATAAAGCATGAGGAATATAACAAATAAATGCTAGTGTAAATAAAAAAAATTAGAGCATACACATTACCAATAATGTCAACTAGAATGTCCTGAGTGTGACATATGCTAAAAGATAAACTCAAACTTAAAGGAAAATTTTATCACAAACCACTTAAGAGGATGGCCAAGAAAAACTATAGGTCAAACTATCAACAAAGATGCGAGGGAAGTTATTATCTTTGGACCTATTACACCACATACCTTTATAGCATCGTTTGATACATGCAATCAGCCCCTCCTAATGGGGCGATTATTATTGTTGTATCAAATATAGAACAACTATAAAACTTTTCTTCTCAAAGGATGCGTGTATATGTTTATTGGCTCAATGCTTTATATGGATTGAAACAATCACTTGCCCATGATTTGCTCAAATGGTTGAGTGAGGGTGCTCTTATTTTTAGATTGAAGACACACACTTATGTTGATTACAACTCTTCTACTTGCACTTATTTTTAGATTTAAGACACACACTTATGTTGATTACAACTTTTCTACTTGCAGACTAATGGTAGTTATATTGGCAAGATGGTATATGTTGATAATATAGAAATAGCTGGGGTGATACCCTATTTTGTCTTACGTCCCTTGCATTTAGAGACATATTTATTTGGTGCTTTTGATGAATCACAGGCATTCCGATTCAATTTAGAGCAATTTCCAGTATACATAATTTATTGTTACTGGAATAAAAATCGAGCATCTATAAAACAAAATGCATACAAATTAAAAAGAAGAAAAGTACCTCCTCATTGTCAAATAGAGCAACCATCCGAATTGCATGTTCACTTGCTAAGTCACTGGGAGATCCACTCGAGTCAATAAGTGCCCTTAATGCACAATAACTTGAAGCCAGATTATCTAATCTTCCAGAATATATGAATTCATTGTTTCCACCTCCAAGGCAGCTAGGTTGAGTATCACAAACATTCAGTTCAATACTCACTATGTCATCAACTTCACATTTCAACTCCTCTGACAATATCTGAAAATTAAAGCCAAGGGCTATTTATAGAGAATAGTAAGCATTAAACAAAAGTTAAGTAAGCTACATTCAAATTCCATTTTAGTATGTCACATGGTACCCATTTCAACCACTAAAACACGAAGAGATCAATCAATTTGACTTGGTAGCTTTTTCGGATATCCAGCATAATAAACATGGCTATCTTATATAAAATTGGCCATGTGCGCCACGTACACATGAATTCATGTTACTTACTCTGGAGTTATTAATTCCACATAATGCTCTTTGCTACCTCTTTTATTATTTGTTTACAACTCTGCTTAAATCATTTAAGTCCATTTAATATACTCTTTTATATAAAACATGAAAGCAATTAAAAAAAATATCGGTCAACAGTCCCTACCCTCAATGCAATCATCCCTTTCTATGCCTAAATATTTACAGCCCATCTTCCAGCATATTTGTATGCATCTCAAAAGCAAATATCTAATGCAACCAATTCAGTAGATTATTAAATTGCAATGGGCTTAAAAATGAAAAATATGTATAAAGGAAAATGCTACGACACTGGATAAGAAAATAACAGGTTTTTTGGTGGTTAACTGTCGGTTTTAAAATTAGTAATGCATTGAATATTGTAATTTCCAATAAATAATAACTTTCTAAGTCTTGATTTCTTAACCGCTACCCTTCCTAAGACCCAGGTTAGCATCACTCAATATATAACATTTAAGTTGTCTACAATCTTGAGACTACGAAATCAAAAGTCCAAGAACTGTGATTTGACAGGTCCCAATGTTTCATTTGCCATTATCAATATCAATGTTACTGATTTCGTATGGCGGACTAATTAACTACAAAAAGGAAATAATCTAATAGTATTAAATGCTAGTTGATAAAATTTAAAAACATGGGGAGGCCGTGGCACCTATGTGCCTCCCCCCTCCTTCCGCTCATGCGGCCATGGCTGATATTTGACAAGACTGATCAATATCAACTCATGAATGTCCTGTGAAAACAGAACTCTACCCTATAATAAGCATACTGATATTTAGCTGTGGTCAAGACCTGAAGGGTAGGCAAACCAGTAATAGCACAAAGTTATTTTTTACAAGTTCCCCAACATTGCCATGCCAGGCTTTGAATGATGTTTCTTTGACTTGTGTTCAAAGATATCTATCCAGTATAATAATAGAACAATAGTTGTGGCAAACAGTGAATTTGATTTTAATTTTCTTTCTTCTGCTCACTATACTAGGAATAAAGAATGGGAAACAAAAAAGAGAACAATAGTTGTGGATGGAATTGTCCTTTTAAAATAAATGTTTGTAAATTTTTATTAGTATGCATGGTTTACCGTCCTGTGACGGTTACAATTACAATAGCAATATTCAAAAGCACAATTAGTTTGAATCCATGAACACGAAAAATTGTTCAAAGTTCATACCTTTCAAGAGTACTTCAAATTCAAACTTAACCGAAAAGAAGAAAAAATATTACATACCTGCATAAGCAGTGGATGATGAGAAGCTTTGGATGACGATGCAGCAGTCTTCTCTTTTGACTCTGAAGTGTCCTCAAGTTTCATCGAGAGTAAAGGAAGAAGATGAGTCTCAAGATTTGGTTTGAAACCATCCTGGTTCACTGTGCTAAACAATGAAACAAATATGAGATGGCAATAGAATCTGCTAGCCTGCATGCATGTCTTTGTGGCAGAGCATTAACATATAGTACAGAAGTAATGAGCCAAAAATACTAGGACTGCATAGAAAAATCCAGACATTTCCATCATAATAGTACAGATGTTTGATAGTGATTGCTGATCATTAACTGAAAATATTCATGCAAACAAGAGACAAATGATATTATTGAAAAATTAGATTTTGCTTCTCTAAAGTAATTAACCATTGATGAATAAATCAATGACTGTTATTTATACATGCATAAAAAATCAAAGAGGCATTGAAATATCAACCCTCAAATTTTCCATTAGTAATTGAGATTGCTACTCACTTTAGAACAGTGTTGTTGATGGCAGATGGCGGTCCATGGCGGAGAGCCAAAATCCCACCATACCAGCCGCCTTGCGGCCCGTTATAGCGGAAACACCCGCAATATCAGCCGATATTTACCATTGCGGCATGCCCAAAAAACATCATGTATATCCGCCATAGCAGCCATGGCGCTGCCATTTGATAACTCTGCATTAGAAGAGTTAACCTCATTGGACCATAATGTTAGGTTTGATGAATGTATCAACATGATGATGATAGTTAGTTAGTGTTAGGACCTGTTTTGATAAATAGATTAGTTAAACATTTATCATATTAGTGATTATGTACCATTTCTATAACAGAAGATAAAATAAAGTCAAACTGTTTTCGTATAAGCTATAACATATAAGTTATTTTCACAAGCTAAGATGATGAACTTATGTAAATAAACTAAAAACAACTTATGGACATGTCATTCGCAATTTCCATAAATTCTCTCAAATAGTCACACAAGTGTTTATATCAGTGGATAAATTCAAATAAGTCAACTAAAACAGGCTCTAAGTGTAACTAGGAGTTGTAATTGAAGTAAGAAAAACAGAATCCTTAGTTAAGCTCAAATAAGTCACAATACAAAGAGCCCTAAGTGCCACTAGGAATTGTAATTTAAGTAAGAAACATGAAAATGAGTTTTATTAATAGTACCGGCTAAGATGAATGGCCAGAGTGGGAATACGCAAAATGGGTCTGTTGACTTTGACAAGCTTATGAAAAAAAGAATTATCACTTCTTCTAAGAATGACTCTCCCTGCAACACTCAAATCCCTATCAAACCAAGTATGCCATAATCCACCTCCATAAGTCTGAACATTTACCATCATATAAGAAGACTTCAACGACGCCGTTTTTGGTTTCAGTTTCAGACACGGACTATCTGTATGTGCCGCTATAGCATAAAAACCATTACCTACTTCGTACCTTCAACAAAGAAGTTTCATTCCAATTCCATCATCAAATAATAATAAGAGTGAATAGGCAAGTTGGTTTTCAAAATTGTAAGCATTTGTCATAACAGTTACTCATTTTTTTGCAAATTGTCAAATACATTCCTAAAATAGTAAAACATTCAAAATGATCCTTCTGTTCATTTCTAGCCTCAAAGGCTTATGATGTGCCACATTAACTCAGACATACTGCATTGCATGTTGATTTCACATCAATGTTAGTTCACCAAAGACTAATTTGCCTAAGAAATTTAGGTCATATTTATCGTAATTACAATAGTGCATTGGTTAATTACTGGAAAATTAGTCCTGACCAAAATTTCATATACAAATCAGTCCCTAATATGGTGGCATTGACATGAAATCTACTTGGAGGTGGAGACTATTTGACATGCATTTTACAATTTCAGGGATGTACTTACCAATTCACAAAGATTCCATACTATTTTGAACAATGCTTACAACTTCGAGAACGAATTTACATATTCAATGTAACAATAATGTCATAAACACACAAACAAATAGTAAAAAGCAAAAAACTGAACTCACTTTTCTCCTACGGCGAAAGCAACCAAACAAGACATGTTGCGAGTGAAGAAGTAGCGTCCACCTGGTTTGAGGTTCCATTCTTCGTTTTCGTTAAGAAGGTGAAAACCGGCGGCGAGTAATTGTCGTTTTGCCTCCGCTGTGGAGGAAACAGAAATGTTAATTCCGGAAGGACGAGGGGTATTTCTGGAATTTTGAAAAAAAAACGACGAAACTACCTGTGGCGTGGAAATGCGTCCACGATTCATTGAGATAATCAAGAAGGTCGTTTACGATGGAAGCAGATTCGGATTTATGAGACGTTGAATTGACGGAGCAGAAGCTACGTCGGCGAGTGAAGGGAAACGAATTTGGGAGTTTTTGGTGGCGAAGAAATGATGACGAAGAATTGAGCTTGAGATTGAGTGATGGAGCACGAGAATGCAGAAGAATGTGCGGTCGAGTTATTGTTGCCATGGTTCTAACGCTCATAACAACCATGCCGTTGAGTGTTAACTATCTATTTGCATTTCATATAGAATTTGGTTGATAGTTGTGCAAAAAGATATGTCACTTAACCGGATTAGAACTCGCGACAATTTAGTCCATAGTTGTGCAGAGATAGATATTTAACTGTTAAAGTGGATAAAAACTTGTGACAATTTAGTTGATAGTTGTGTAGATCTGACTGCAGAAATAAGTTAGAATCCGCGACATCATATTTATTCATCTTTCGGCGATTAAATTAGTAAGAAAAAATTCTAGGGACTATTCTTACAAAGTGAAAGAGTAGGAAGGACTAAAAATGCAATTAAAATTTAATAGTGTAACCCCATGACATTCACATGTGAGCTATTATTTTTTTTAGTTAATCATACAAAACCTATGATTCATCATAATACAAAAAGTAAAGACATTGGGCAAAGTTTGAGATAATTGCAACATCATGTAGTTTATGTATAGAAACTATAAGTGGATGAATCAGCAATGATGTTCCTTAAGCCACCAACTGTGGATGCCACCATAATACACACTCCTATGCAAATTGAGCCCTGAAATGAAATTCACATGAATTGTATTATGATTTTGGATTGTTACATCTTTTAAAGAAAAGTTGCTAACTGCGAATTGATTATTACCCAATTGATGAACCAGTTGGTGCTGAATCTCTTTGGCTTCTTGATTATCATCCACATTATGCTAGGAAGCTGAAACAATTAACAAACCAATAATTGATTTTTTGTTTTGTTTTAGAATTAATCCATTTAAGTTTGGCAATTTGAGATATAACCATGGAGAAATTGAGAAAACAGAAGAGTCTTACAAAATATGCAGTTGGAGCAAAACCAAATCCACCAAAGAATCCAAGAAGATCTCCAAAGAAAGGAAAAGTGATCCCAATGATTAATGTAAAAGCTGTAACATATCAACAAACTTTAGTAACATATAAGACTTATCCTGAACAAAATAATTACCCCTCCCTTACTCTCCTACTGATAATTTGAATCTATTGCAATAAGCCATCCATGCGTTAAGTAGTCGTGGAATTTACATCCAACGACTAGCAATGTATGGACTGCGTGAATGCACGAATTTGCTATACAATAATAATAACATAGGTTAATTTTGACACAAATTTTGACATCTTACCTACATAAGCAGATCGAGCTACAAGTCTAAGCGCTACACCAGGAGGAAAATTCAATCTTTGCATCATTATCCTTTCAATCAAGTCAAAAACAGGCATCGCATAAACCTATAATATATTTTTGCCTCATCAATCATAAAATAAAATTTTATACCTATCTAGTTTCAAAAAACATTTTCACTTTTAATCACAAAATCGTCACATTACTTTTCACATTTTCAAATATTTGCACGATAAAGAGTGAAAACAAGTAAACATGTTTTTACCTGCTTTCACAAATTTAAGGTATTGATTTTGCACGAAAACCTACCTGGTAGCTACCAATAACGTGGATGAATACCATCAAGTCAGCAGAGGCAATAAGCCATGAAGGTCTTTTTAGTGACATAAGTACATTATCATCAACATCTTGTCCAAAAGCCCAATATCCAATGATCGCAACCGGGAAATAACATATTGCATTAATGAAATAAGCACAAATAGCACCCTTCCACATCGGTATCTTGGAAGGTTTCTCAGGTGTTGATGGAATTGTAGCCTGAATTTCAAGGGTCACTGCATGGCCCGCAAATGCAAATGAAATTTGACCAAGCGCATTGAAGACTCTGAACAATAAATCGGTCTTGCTGATTTGTTTGTACGAATAACTGACATTGTCGATCCGACCTCTGGATAAGCAAGCCACCCAGGCTATAGTTGAATAGCTGCAATCGAAACAACACTATAATCAGAGACACCTTAAGTTTTAGGAAAATCTGTGTAGATTAACCACGGTTCAACGGTAACAAAACAAATATGTGTCAGATGTGGAATCAGGAAGTACCTTAATGACATCAGAGCTGCGGCTAAAGAAACACCAGCAACAGAATTGAAATTAGGAAGCTGAGAAAGAAAAAAATGAATTCCACCAAAAACCATAATCCAGTAAGACTGTCTGATTTGTGCACAATTGGTGCATGCTATCTCCACAAAACTCTTTAGACACTTTCCACCAACAACCATGTACACAACATCACACCCAACTTGTACAATCAGTTGTTGAGGTAGAACAATCCATGCTCCAAGTTTTGGTCCAAAAGCATGTCTACCAAGATCAATATATCGATCGAAACGAGTTCCTGGAACACATTCGTGTAGCTGGATCATTTGCCACATTGTGTTTAAGGTCAGACACCAAGACAGTAACAACATCAAGATCCCTGGACCCCTGAAGATAAAAGATACACATACTAAAAAAACTGATAAATTTAATTATCACATTGAACTTTGAAAACGACAAATAAATAGAAACAATTTTTTCTACAAAAACGACAATTAAACGATAACAAATTTGTCAAGTTGCCAAAAAAATTTGTTGGTTGAAACTACTTGGTTCAGGTTACCATCCTAGATAGGCCATGGCATATGGCAAGCTGAGAACACCAGCACCTATCATGGCTGTCACCGTGTGGAAAGTCGAGTACCACCATTTGGCTCGACGGGCAGGGCCGTTATCCACCCCTTTTTGTTCTGATTGAATTATCTGCAATTATGAAAAATACAAATTAATCACACATTTGAATTGTGTTAACATTGTCAAAAACTAGTGCATGAAACCGTGCAAAAGAAGAAAATAAGATTATATACATAGTAACATACACACTAACTTGGAATTACCTTAGGAGGAGTGGAAACCATTTTAAGTCACTCCCAAAGAATATCAGAGAAAAAAAAGACCTTATGATGCTGGAATCAAAGTGAAGTGCATCAGTTATATATATACATATGTGTAAGTAAAGGTTGATGTGTAACAAATATTTAATGCAATAATAGTAATAATTATAATAATAATAATAATAATAGTAAATATTTTTTTGGGTCAAATAGTTTATTGGCTAGAATACACTATTTTTAAAGATGAACATGTAAAATGTCACGAATTCAAATCTGCGTCTCTGCATCTAATACTTCTGTTACTTATTAACTAAACTGATTTAACGGGATTAATAGAAAACATATTCATGCACCTTAGTGTTTTTGTTGCCACTTGTGATTTTGTTGATGCTGATTAAAGGTCAAAAGAGGTAACTGAGTTCAAAGAATAAGTTTCAAGGTGAGTTAAAACAACTTTAAAACCCAAAAAGTAAAGCAAGCTTATCTAGGAGTTCTTTTTCCATCACTAACTGATTCTGATTATATCTCACTCTAATCCAAACCATGCCTAGTTACAATGTAAGAAACCTGTAGAGTTTATAGTAATATATTTTGTCCCTACAAATATTTATATTTCTAATTTTCTTTTTTTAAAAAATAGTTATATTTTTAATTTTAACCCTATAAAATTTGTTGTTTAATTAGTTTTTGAGGGGGATGAAAATCAAATGTGTACTTAATAAATATATCAATTTAAACATATTTTTTTTCTTCACAAAAACTACAATAATAATCAAGACTAGAAGTAAAATAAATAAATTATATTTTTGACTAAAAGTGAAAATTAATTTTTACGGAGAATAAATATAAAAGGTAAGTATATTTATAGATTAACCAACAACATATTTAAATCTATATTTCCTTAGGAATCAGTAGCAAGAATATTTTTTTATGAAGGAACATAAATTAAGTTAATATTATTTTGGTGGTGTTAGGGACAATTGTTAATGTCAAAGAATCAAATATAAATTAATTAATGTGTAGGTAAAGGAAAACATTTGAAGCTAATGAAAGGTTTATTTTTTAATTTATGAAAGATGAAAACATTTTAGTGGTTAGGAAAAGGTATAATCTTTAATCATTACAGTTATTTGTTTATCTTGGTAAATTAAGCCACTAAATTTTGGTTAATGATTAAATTCTGTTTGATGTCTCTGTTTAACTTAGTGGAGGGGGAGTGGAAATATGCTTATATATCTCATTAATCTTTAAAACAATCGATAATACTCATTTTGTTATTTTTAAATATAAGTAAAAGTTATATTTTTAATCTTAAAAATAAATAAAATGTTAATCAAAATAAGTTATTTATTTTATGGTACAATTAATTAAATTACTTTAAAATTTATTTATTTTTGAAATAAAACTTTGACAAACAAACATATATTTGACATATCATTCATACTAACCGAATTAACAAACAAATATAAGAAGTGTTATCAATGTTCTTTTTTATCAAATTTGAATCTCATTATTTTGAAAGTGAGTATGCTAAATTATGTAAATTTCACATATACTTAAATTAGTTTTATGTACTTATACAAATAAAAAATTATGTTGAAAAAAAGTTGGTAACCGTATTTTTATTTTTATAATATTGTTGTTCTGAACTGCGCCGACGCTTAACTCACTATCAAGTAAGCTCAAGTCCAATGAGGTTGGGCCCAAGAATATCCCGCTAACGGGCAGGATCCCCATCGAGCACAACGTCCCCCTGTCGGGCATAGGTCGACAGCTGTCGGACAGGACCCTCGCATCCGACCAGCCACCTCTGCCTGTCCGGGGAACTCCTCAGCCCTTCCCCCACGTTCTCCACGTGTCCCTCACGCAGGGACACGTCATAAAGTAACTACCCCACGTCCTGGAGATTCGGTCTTCCTCCTCCCGGATAGTGCGGAACAGTTACCCTAGGGCGAAGACCACGTCTTAGTCTTCACGACGCCACATCAGTCCTAGCAGTTACTAACATTGGGTCTGACAGCTCAGCCCAGTGCTAAGTAACTGTTGGCCCTGCGTTGGGGGCTCACTATATATACCATCTTCACTAAAGGGTCAGGTAACTTAACTTTCTTACTCTCTCTCTCTCTCTGTGCTTGCTTCCGCTCTGCCCGTCACTTACTTTGGCATCAGAGTGTGTTTCAGGTACACCCTCTCCTCTTCC